CATGTCATCCTTTGGAGGGTATCCTCGGGTTTGTGCCAGCAACCATTGATCAACAACCCCACACTCAATCGCATATCTTGCTGTGCGTTCCAGATACCCTTTGTCGTTCATAAGATCTGGCTGAACCGTAAGCATTCTTATTAGACCTGAAACAGAGTGTAGTTTTAGTTAATCGCCAGCATAACTTTCCAATTTCTACGGAAAAAGACAGAAGTGCAAATGTACCTGCGACAATCCCATCTCCAGATGCTGACATATCCCTCGTAAAAGGAGTAATGGGAGCATCCTCCATACCAAGAACAGCACCATTGTGCTCTTTCGTATAGTAATGGATCTTAGAAGTGCCATTGGTCACAAACAAGACCTTGAGATTTTCATGCCAAAGCTGTTCCACAGTTTCTGGCGGGTAATGGACAAACTTACTGCTGTCATTGTTTTTTGTATCGAACTCTTCAGTTGGCTCGATTCCGCATAAGAATTCAAGTTCCTGTTTTGTGACTTCAATTACGTCAGCAAGATCCCACACTTCCTGTATGAAACTCTTGGTTTCTTCGCTGGACTGCCATAGCGGTAAGGGGAGGTTTACGTCATAGAAAATGACATTCCCTAGTTTCTTTGATATCTTAATGGCTTGTAACGTAGTTGACATCATCTTCTTATCGAGCAGAGAATGCGTGCTGAAGTAGAACATTTTCGCCTGCACCAAAGTTAAGAAGAAGAGATTGGTGAACAAGAAAAAGAGTTAGAATAACTCAATGTTCCAAATCTCCGGGACAATATTTACCTCTTTGAGCACATCAACATTGATTTCAGATTTTGAAAGCGAATCCTCTGCACAGGGTTTGATACAAGTCGATTTTAAGCGGCCTCTCTTGCTAATCTTCATAGTAGAACATGCCGTGACCCTTTTACCATCAATCCGAACTGATCTCGTTTGGACGTTGCACACATTCAGGTAATACAACATGGCTTGACCAAAGTCATCATCCCCGAGTTTGCCCATAAAAGCAACTTTACCACCCAAGCTTGCAAGAGCAATAGCAACACCTCCTGCACATCCTCCAGGAGCCCGGATATACTTCTCCGGGGTCCACACCGCATCTTTCATCCGTTCGTGTATTTCATAATCTAAAAGCCTGTTTGCTGGCCTTCCTGAGGGCACAAAAGCATGTTGTGCAGATCCAAAGCAACACACAAGAGGAGGCCATCCATACGTATCACTAATATCTTCACTTTCATGTTTATTCAGATCAATCTCTTCTCCTTCACTCTCGGCATCAGTGCTTTCAATAGTCAAGGCTTCCTCGACATCACTAACCTCGTCATATGTACTACTACTCCCTAAACCATCCTCCATTTCTTTATCTTTTTTAGTAGTCCTCTTTCGTCTAACTTTCTTCTCGGTTTCTATTCCCTCCACATCATCAGAAGCAGCTGCAGCTGTAAAATGTGTACGATTGCAAAATTTAACACTCATCGAAACAAGTTTTGAAGATATCAGCTAAAAAATGATATAGTCATTACCTTTCCTTCGAGTTCTCCGTGGCTCACTTGCTGTCTTTGTGTCAGTTTCCTTGTCTAAAACATCATTATCAACCAAAAGCTCAAAGCTTTCTTCTAATGTTTCATCCTTTGCTACTACCTTCTTCTTTGCGGTTCGAGCACTACCTCTCTTAGAACTCTTTGCTGGCTTTTTTCCCCTAACCGCCCCGTTTCCACCATTGTCTCCTTCTTCTTCATCAAGAGGTGAAGATTCTGATAACTTTTTCCTACCAGAAGCAATAAAAAAGCTTTGTTTCACATTCCAACATTCACCTCGAAACTTGACAAAACCCAGTGACTGGAGACAAGGAACATCTACATTGCATCTGCCAAAATTAAAGCACGGGCTATGAGAAAAACCATAACATCAAATGTGTAGAGCAAACGCAATAACCTAATTTGAACAAGAAACAATTCGACTGGTAATTTCTCATACTCTTTGTAGAAGAAAGAGAAGGAAAGCAAAAGTTACAAACTTTCGTACATTTCTGGGCACGAAGAACAGACACAAGTAATTCTACAACAAATCCAGATAAACCCCATGGAAGAAAACGAAAAC